TTTAAAATGTATTATAACATCATATATTTCATATATTTGTTGTCTCTAATCAATTTCTGAATATGATTTTTTTCTCTTTTTGGAAGGCTGGAATGTTACTCTATGTTGTCATTTGTTCAATAAAAGCTTATATAAGTGGTGACCTCTAGTGGGCACGCGTGAAATTACAATTTTGCACTGAGCGGAATAGAAAAGCAGTGAACCTTCATTAAACTGTTAATACAAAATATACTGTATATTTATATGATATAAAACATGGAGCTGTACTGTATACTAAAATAGACTACGGAACAAGACATCGGTGGTAACTAAATACAAAACAATGTTTTGTGTAATGTTCATTATGTTGCACAAAGATACACAAAAATGTTCAGTAATGCACTTTTGACACGTTGCCATGCTCGTGACACACTTTGAGTCCATGTTTTGTTGTGCCGACGTCTGTCTCCTTTGACAGCAACAAAAACACACCCTCTGCTGTGATGAATTATTCAGCAGTGCATGTCAGTGACAGTGGCACGTCTAGAACAGAACAGAAGGGGATGACTGTTGTTTTCCTCTGTCTAACAGGTTCTTAGTCTCCTCAACAGCTTTCAGACAAGTGCTAATTCAACCTCAGGGCTGAACCTGACCTGCATAACATGGTTTAAAACTCTATTATGACTCACAGTTTGCCAATTTTATTTAGTTCTCATGAGGTTCACTGCTATGAGCACGGGAACGACTAAAAGTAGACTGTGTGTGAACTGCAACCTCAATTGAAACTGGAATATAAAAGAGATTGTTACCTTCTGAATCAGCCAGGTTCAAAGATTCAAGTCCTCTGCCTTTATCTGTTCCATTTGGAATGTTTTTCCTGATGGAGAATCAGATAAAAAGGTGTGAGAACTACAACTTTTTTACTATTTGGATATACAAGATTAGATGTGAACTATTTGGGTTTTTTAATGCAGATATATATATATATATATATATATATATATATACATACAGTGCCTTGCGAAAGTATTCATACCATTTTTTTCATGTTTTGTAATGTTGCTGCCTTATGTTAAACTGCTTTAAATTACTTTTTTTCCACATCAGTCTACACTCCATACACCATACTGACAAAGCAAAAACAGAATTGTCACAACTTCGTAAATGTATTAAATATAAAAAAACTGAAATAAGTATAATGCATAAATATTCATTAACTAAATATTTAGCTGAAGCACCTTTACAGCCTCAAGTATTTTTTGTTTGATGCGACAAGCTTTTCTCATCATCATTTGGCAATTATCTGCCATTCTTCACCTCGCCTCTCCACCTCTCAAGCTCTGTCAGGTTGGATGGGGGCAGATGCACATTTTCAGGTTTCTCCAGAAATATTTGGCTAGGTTCAATCCCAGGCTGTGTTGGGCCACTCAGGGACATTCACAGAGTTGTCTATAAGCCACTCTTGCTGTGTGCATAGGGCCATTGTCCTGTTGGAAGGTGAATCTTCTGCCCGGTATGAGGTTCTGAATGCTCTGGACTGGGTTTTCATTAAGGCTATCTCAATATTTTGGTGCATTGAGCTTTTCTTCTACTCTGACGAGTCCCTCAGTCCCTGCCACTGAAAAACAGCCCCTCAGCATGAGGCTGCTACCAGCACACTTTACTTTTGGGATGGTACTCTGCAGATGATGAGCAGTGCCTGGTTTCCTTCAAACATGATGTTTGGAATTGAGGTTCATCAGACCAGATAATACCGTTTCTCACAGTCTGAGGGTCCTTTAGGTCCTTTTTTCAAATTCCAAGTGTGTTTTCACGTGTCTTCACTGAGGAGAGGATTGAGTTTGGCCACACCGCCATAAAGCACAGATCGGTGGAGTGTTGCAATGATGTTTGTCCTTCTGTAGGTTTCTCCCGTCTCCACATATGATCCTGGCACTCAACTAGAGTGACCATCATCTTCTGCTCCTGAGCTAAATTTCAACTGTCTCAGATATGCAATGGAATCATTTAAGTTTTTTATTTTTAATAAATTTGCAAAGATGTTAAAAAACTGATTTTTGCTTTATCATTATGGTGCATGGAGTGTAGATTGATGTGGGAAAAAGTCATTTAAAGCAGTTTAACATAAAGACAGCAACATAACAAAATGTGAAAAAAAAGAATACTTTTGCAAGGCACTGTATGTATAAGTGCTGGGCAACGATTGATCGCGATTAATCGCATCCAAAATAAAAGTTTTTGTTTACATAGTATATGTGTGTGTACTGTGTATTTTTATTATGTATATATAAATACACACACATGCATGCATATTATTTAAGAAAAATATAATATGTTTATATATTAAATATATTTATATATAATATAAATTATGTGAATATAAATATATACATGTACATATTTTCAAAATATATACTGTATGTGTGTATAAATATACACAGTACACACACACATATATTATGTAAACAAAAACTTTTATTTTGGATGCTGTTAATCGCGATTAATTGTTGCCCAGCAGTAATATACATATATATATATATATATATATATATATATATATATATATATATATATAT